TTATTACTTAGTTTCGTCATTGCAAAAGTAATTTGTATTTATATTTATATGTTCGTAAAACGTATAATTCAGTAACATCGACATTAAAAAAAGACATATGACAGATCAAGTGAATATTTTTTTATGATTTTTATGGGCAAGACTCCTTTGATTTCATTGAATTAAAGTTATAAAAATTTGACAACTTTGACATTCACATATTTACAATTTTGTTTTGTCGTTATCCCGCCAAAGTGGCGTACTAAGTTATTTGTAATTAATTAAATATATTTGGACAATAGTTTTATTTTATTATAGTGCATTACATTCAGTGATATAATGATACAAATGAGTTATGCGAATTATTCTTTCATTACTTCGAAATTGTAGATATAGTTCACACGTAGGTTATGCTATTTCTAGTAAAAAAATTGATGAAATTATACAAGCTAAGTTATTTTCTAATATTAGTAGGAACATGTCTCAGAAAAGCATCACATCATTTTTTACGATAACTCCTAGAAAATCGGCTGAAATAAACAAAGAAGCTGTCAAAGTAAGTTTATTATAAATACCAAATAATTCTTCGGATATATACCTATAGACTTCACTACATTATCCATTTAAACTATCTTTTGCTAGAATAATATGAATTAGTTTTGATTATAATATGCCACTATAAAAAATTTAAACATAGAATTGCGAATGACTTAATATTTTCTGAAAATTTAGATGATTATGAATCAAAAACATTTACCGAATTTATTTGAAATTGTTTAATTTTTATTCAACATAATTGTCCTCTTTTATGTAAAAAGTCTTATTTCAACAATGCTTAGAAAAATTACTACACCACCTTGATGAAGTTTTAAAAAATCAGTTATTCACAATTCACCTATGTTGTATATAATTGGTGTTTATAGCATTTAAATAAACCAAAGACTTTGATTCATTCTTTAATGTCTTTGTTTCTACAGAGTCAAAAGAATGTTAAAGAGGAGCCAGCATCTCTAGTTAATGGGAAAAATAAGGTATTTACTAGAATGGTACAAGTACTAATATTATTATATTACTACTAGAACTATTCAAAGTTCTGGTTAGTTAGTGCACATTTTCAGAGGGGTGACCTTAATAGAGTACCAAAGTGAATTGGGTCCGGAGCTCTTCCTGCAGGATCCCAGATTCTTAGCCCCCCAGTGGACTCTACATTTGATAAAAAAAATTGTTATTACATATTTTAGAATAAATTCTCAAATAGTCTATTAAAATTGATGGCATGTGTAGTTATGAGATGCAGGTTGAATATGGTGTGCCACGGGGCAGTATTATTTGGCCCACACTTTTCCTAATTTATGTAAATGACCTATGTTCACTCAATATCCACAAATTCTCACTTTTTCGTATGCTGATGATACAGCACTTTTTTTTTCTGGTGACTCTTTGTCGGTGGTATTCCAAAATGCACAATCAGGATTTGTGAGTGGTTCACTAACAACCATTTAATGTTAAATGTAAACAAGACTAAATATTTAATTAATACTATAAGACCAACCAACCTTCCAACTAAAGATATCCCTTTACTTATTACTCATAGCTGTCTAAACAATAACTTCTGTAGCTGTTACTTCATTGAAAGATTCAATGAAATCAAATACTCTCTCCTTTAAGTCATATTCAATATTCTATCTGCGAGATTGCATAAACTCATTTATATTTTTAAGTCTCTTAGGTCAGTAACTGCACCATTGTATTGTGTCATATCATGGGATAAAATTTAGTATTATTATACTGGAGCTACCTTCAAATCATCTCTATTTCCAACAGATGCCCTCTATTCATTCTGCGAAGTTTTGTCCATATGGAAACTATTCATTTTGTACACATTGTTGCACCAACACTCTAAATTAACATTTGATCCTGATGTTGACAAATTCCATAATAGACAAATAGTCAAGGGTTGACTTTTTTGTAAGTCCTTAAGCCATAGATTCCTACCATTTTTGGGTCCTTTCCTTTATAATTATGTCAATAGATTTATTAATATATATCCTTTAAATACCAGACAGCTAAAATATACACTTTTATAATGACTTCTCCCATTGTCTTATGAGGAGACAGAACAGTTACTTCATCCCATTAAGTAAACTTTTATGAATTTTATAAATATTACTACAGAATATTTTAAGTTAATATTCTTGTATTATTTTTGTCAACGGAAATTTGTGGGTTAGCTGTTAACAAAATAAGGACTAAATTAAGTTTACAATTCTGTCACTTTTGTAAACCTGATATGTTGATCAATCAATCTCCTTGTTAAATTTTTATGATGAAAAATGATTTTTTATTTTATGATTTTACAACATGATAGATTGAATATTTCTTAATATAATTTTGTTGTAACACAGAAATCAGCTAAACGACAAAGAGTGAACAGCAGTGAGAGTGACTCATCAACATCACCTGTAAAACCTGTAACTCCAGAATCTGATAAGGTTAGTTTTCTGGAGAATAAGGTTGTGTCCTCCAAACGAAAATACAGGTTTCTGTTAGATATTCCGACAATATAAAACATTTTAACTTATAAATATTTAACATAATAAATTTTATTAAACTAATTTGGAAAATATTGTTTTGAAAACTTGAAAAAAGAAGAGAAAATAGATTACAAATATTGGCTACAATATATATGACATTAAATTAGTTACATAACACGTAACAATTTTCTTAATAACTACTATAAACATAAATGCATAAATAACAAATATATTCCAAAGATTGCCCAGATACCTATAAGTTTTTTGCTACTGTAGTGAGACATGACAAAAAGTAACAAGTGCTTAAAAGATTCATCAGTGCGGTTAGGTCCTGGGTAGCTCAGTGGTTAGAGCAGTCGCCCAGATTGCTAAAGATTGTGGGTTCGAATCCCATCTCAGGGTAACAGGGACCAAGTTGTTTTTTTAAGCGTTTTTCATTAAGAATATTGTTAAAAATGTTTTATTTATAGAAAAAGAAAGTTAAACGTCAAAGAATAGAAAGCTCTGGGAGTGAGACGGAGAGTCCTAAAACTTTGACCACTGGCCCAGATGTCAAGGTTGAAAATTATGATAAATCACCAAAATCTGAAAAATCTTCAAACACAAAGAAAGCTAAGGTAGGAAAGGAGGCATCAGATGATAGTAAAAATATAAACAGGATAGTAGCAGTTAAAGAGGAGGTATTATTTCCCATTGTCAAAAGTGAGAAGACTGAAATTAGAAAAGAAACAAGCCCTGGAAAAGTTACAGAGAATGGAGTGTGTGAGCAGAAAGATACAAAGGAAAGTGAGGAGAAACCAAATGTGCTGGGTATGATCATTTTATTTTATAAGGTTTAGGTATTTTTTAGGATTACCAAACCCAAAACGAGCAACGAGGTAAAATGAGCTCCCTATTACTAAGACTTTGCTGTCTGTCTGTCTGTCCGTCACCAGGCTGTATCTCATGAATCATGAAAGTTAGACAGTTAAAATTTTTACAGATGATGTTGCTGCAGAAACAAAAACGAAAAACAAGAATAAAATAAATATTAAAGGGAGTTCCCATATAACAAATGTGAATTTTTGTTTGTTTTCCGTACGGAACCCTTTGTGTGCAAGTCTGACTCGCAATTGACTAGGTTTTTTTATGTTTTTTATGATTTCGTACCAGTAGACAAGGACCAATACAGTTACCAGAGAAAAACACTATTAATATTATAACTAGTGCTTGAACCCGGTTTAAGCTGGCTTTAACATAATAAATTATTTTAATAAATATATGTACGCACTATTATAGAAGCATTCAGTAGTAGGTAGTCTAATGGAGGGATCAGCAGTAGCACTGGATGGCGCAATGAAATACTTGTACAGTTCTTCAGTCTTGATTTTATTTTCAAATAATATACATCAAATCACAACTAAATTCTAAGATACTGACTTCATGTCGGTTTCGATCAGAAAAAAAAAATATCAACCAGCAAAACACTAACATGCGAATTCGAATACAGAAAAGTAATAATTAAAAAAATTATAATTTTAAATTAGCTTTGACCATAAATTGTCTGAAGATTAAACCTATCTATAGTAATGTGCACGGACGTTACAATAGTTTTAAAAGTGTAATACAATAAAGGCAAATAAAAAAAAAACTGTGTTAATAATAATATGGTTAAAAACGTCCCCACGTTTTTCATAACATACCTTTGCCACTTTGCTCAATGAGTTATTGAATAGTTATCATGAAAATATTTTTATAATGATGGAACTAATTTTTAATACGGGTGTAGACAGTGAACGAAAATATGAACTTTTTTTCTGGTAGTGGTTAATATACTATTATCGATAATCACACTTTTATGCTTATTATATTTATAATATTGCTTAAACTAATTATGTAAAAATAAATATTTATTGCTCATTGTCGCGTGACCTCTAACAGCGCATGAATACACGCCCCTCTACTCATATCGGAACTTGGAGAATTCAACCATATGCATACACAGAACGATATTCGTTCTACATTGCCGTGACGTCATAGCGACGCCATGACAAAAGTGACGTATTCGCGGATTTTTTATACTATTATATGAATGATTTTTATGTCAATAATTTTTTTAGATATATTTCATGTATATCTCCGTTTTCATCAACTAATAACACGCAAATAAAAATTAAATCAGTCATTAAAAAAATATTTTTTATGATAATTATTCAATAATCCATGAAGTTGTTAAGTATTTAAATAGTTTTTTGACTTGAGAAAAAATAATTATAATTTAATCAGGTAAGTGTGACCGCGGTCCTAGTGTCATGGTCCCAGTTCTAACTTCCTTAGGATATTAATTATTAGCTATTATTGTATCTGTGTTTAGATACTGATTACAATCCTGCGAAGAGCAAGTACCATCCCATTAACGACGCGTGCTGGTCTAAAAACGAGGAGGTGCCATACCTGGCATTAGCTAAAACCCTGGAGGTGATAGAAGCTACCTCGGCCCGCCTCAAGATGGTAGAGTTTTTGAGTAATTACTTCCGTTCAGTGATCGCTCTTACTCCTGATGATTTATTACCCAGCGTGTACATGTGTTTGAACCAGCTGGCACCTGCATATCACAGCCTGGAGTTGGGTAAGTTATATAACTTATAACAAATTAATCCAAGCATCAATTATATAATTTCTACTGTTTTAGAGATCATTGTGTAGTTTTACCGCATCATATGCACTGGTAAAATCCCAAATCCAGTAGCTAAAGTTAGGTTGGAAATTCATTAATTACTTATTTAGTGGAACAAACATATTCAGCCATCTCTAGAAGCTTTATTCACCGTCACCAGGTGTTCCAGCACCTTATCTCCATACTTGGAGCCGTCCATTAATCACGTGAGGCTCGAAAAAGGGGGGGGGAGGGATACGTCAAAAATCGCGAAATATCACAAGGGGGATGGGGGGGTGTAGTAATATATCACGTGTATTTATTTTTCCTAGACGCGCGATTATTAAACCGAAAAAAATTTCGTCAGCGGCAAAAATTAAGTTTTTTTTTTAAATACTTGTGATTTGTTTGAAGGAGGGAGGGGTTAATCTCAAACCTCGCCATGTATCACCAAGGGGGGAGGGGGTCAAAAAATGTGGAAAAAAACATCACGTAATTAATGGACGGCTCCCTAGGTACTGAATGATGAATGCTCTCAGTACTTCCACATACTGAAGTACCAAGCATTAGAAAGAAAATTTGCACTTTTTTGTCATAAGCTCTCTGTAGGATGAAGATGATATTTAGTTCTGCAGTATATAAGTATGATGTATGTATGAAGCTCTGCAGTAGGTATATATGTATGATTGTGTGGTGTAGGTATAGCGGAGACGTACCTGATGAAGGCAGTGGGTCAGTGCACTGGTCGCACAGTTGCGCAGTTACGGGCGGCGGTGGCGCGGGAGGGTGACCTGGGGACAGTAGCGGCGCACGCTCGCGCCACACAGCGGACAATGTTCCAGCAGCCACCGCTCAAGGCCCGGCGGGTCTTCAACGCGCTCAAGGACATAGCCCGGATGACCGGTTAGTAGTAGTTTAGCAAGACCGTAATTCACTGGACATTGGTGATGCACTCTCCCCCTCCAACGTATAAAGGACAGTGGCAGAAGCCGTTGCTTAAATTATGTATAATGGTCCTTCGAGCCGGACGTATATGAAGATTACTTGCGCCGATCTAGCGCGTTATTAGGATGTTGCACATATAAATATTGTTTGTTAAATGGTTAAGTGTACAGTAATTTGTACATGTGTACAAACAGTAATTTGTCAGTACAAATTACTGTACATATGTACGAAATATATATTTTATCTATAGTTCGATAAGGTTTGCCATGTATCACCTCATTCCTCATCATATTATCATCATTCATAACAGGTGCTGATCATAGAGAAAACACAATAAAATAAAACTAATTGACTCGTCTGAAAAAAAAAGATTTTCAATATTTATTTTTTTTTAACATCACAGGTCAAGCTTCAGTCAATAAGAAAATAGCAAAGATCCAGTCCCTTTTCACGGCGTGCAGAAATTGTGAAGCGAAGTACTTAGTCAGGTAATTTTAAAATTGATTACTAACGCGAGCAAAACAATCTAGTATCTTAAATAGGGAAGTTACACCACAATTGAGTCGTATTTGCGACACTTGACAATCGACGACCCATAAAAAGTTAATGTGTTCATAAAACTAACATTATAAAGCTAACATTAGCAGAATTGCCCTATAGGTCGCTGGAGGGCAAGTTGCGTATAGGTCTGGCGGAGCAGTCCGTGCTGCAGGCACTGGCGCTGGCTGTCACCGTCACGCCTCCTAGTCCTCAAGGTCAGCTAATGCTGGACGCCTCCAAAGGAATATCTCCCGAACAATTCAAGGTATGAATCCCCCCCCTCCCTCCCTTACTACTAGCACACGCCTTATATTTGTCGATTTGTTTAATTTAAAGTTTTTGGTTACGTTTATTAAAGTTTTTGGTTACGTTTAAAATAACAACGCCACTAAGCAAAATGGAAATAAAATCAACGAATGAATAGTTAAATATTTATCGAAGATGCAACCGGAATAAGGTTGGGATAAACTCCGTTAGCCTTCTCATGAATCCGACAAACTATAGATCATAATTGTTGTGATTAAAACCTTACAAACGACAAATTAAACGAAAGCACATCTTGAAACCAAACACCATACTTCAATCTTCTTTAGTAGTAAACCTTTGTGGAATGAACCTAATATGTTGTCATCAGGCACGAGTGGACGCTAACGCGTTATTAATAAAGACTACGTACTGCGAGTGTCCCAATTACGACGCCATTATCCCCGTGCTATTGGAGCACGGTGTGGAGTCGTTACCTAAACACTGCCGGCTCACACCCGGCGTGCCGCTCAAGCCAATGCTGGCACATCCCGCGCGTGGAGTACAGGAACTGTTCGATAGGTACTATGCTTACGAAATAACATGACACCTGAAGGACTATTCTAGGTTTTCTATTTCCAAATTTGTATTTCGACTCCAAAGAAACTAATTTTTCGATAATGTATGATGCAACAGAAGTAGAACCTGACACTGCCTCTGATGCATAGATAATGTTCACGGGTATGATCTTAACAGAATTATAAGAACAATTCGAAATTTTAGAATTTTCATTTTAGGACAATTGTAATAATAAGACCATCAGGTAACAAATTAATTTGTACGAGTTACATATACAGGGTTATTTTTTTTTATTAATTAAAACCATATACACTTTTTTCTAACTAATATTTATTTATTATTTCTTGCTTATAATATTATACAAAAGGCGGACTTAATAGATGTTGAATTTGCTCGTTAGGCGATAAGAATAAAATTTTATCTGTGGAAATCTATTAATCCAATAAAATTTACACTATCTAAATATAAACAATAAAAATGTATATAATATCAGAGATATAAAAATGTTTCCATAAAAAACATCTGTTGGCTAACAATTTTATTTTAATCGGCGCACCTACAGTTTATTCACTATATTAATAAAAAATTTTATAAATATCAAAATATTCATATTCTTATAATATTTATTACAATAATAATAACAGTTTGCATACGTGTAGGTGTACAGTAATATGAGCGTTATTGCGTAGGTTCGAGGGTTCACAGTTCACGTGCGAGTGGAAGTATGACGGCGAGCGAGCGCAGATACACGTACCCTCCACAACTGACGACGGAGCACCGGACTACAGTCGAGCCGCCATATTCAGTCGCAACCAGGAGAATAATACCAGGTATCATCAGCCATTTTATGTACTCGCTGCAGGGATTTAGACCTACCTTATGAATGGCTATGATCCTACACGCTGGTCCAAACCTGATTGGAGGGTATTAACGATTGCAAATACAACCCGGACCAATGACTTCACGTGCCTTCCGAAGCGAGGACTAGCTCGAATTATTGTTTTTTGTCACCCATCCCTCGACCAAATCTTGCGAAAGTTGCTTAACAACAAAGACCGTGGGCCGCGGCGCTTATCCATTACGCCACTGCTACTCATACCAGGTATACAGTACCTGGTTTTGGAATGAAAATGAATGAAAATCCTTTAATGAAATAAGTTTATTATGAACACTTAACTATCGTCTAAATTATTTCCTTACCACTCGTTCAGAACGTGTTTTAGTTGACAAGAGAGCTCTATTTACGTCGTCAAGACAATCATTGCGCCTGTTACTTTTTAAACACTGAAGAGGTGTCATCTATAAATAATACTGTCTTGCAAAAAGTTTTCATAGCGTAAGGAAGATTATTAACGTAAACTAAGAAAAGCGATGGTCCTAATATTGATCCCTGAGGTACGCACAGTGCTGGGGGCGAACTGCGCGGTGTATGGCCTTCGGGCCGATTCCGCGCCTCGCCCACCATGAGAGGGACATCGCTGAGTTTTAGTGGGTAAACTCCTGTATTTTGTCTAGCCCCCACTCTGGGGGCGGGACCACAGGAGGAGTCCCACAGACCCCGTGAACCCCAGCGCATGGGGGGAGCGGACATGCGGAATGCATTTCTCAGCGTCAAAAAAAAAAAAATGGTACGCACAGTGACGGGAATATGTATGATGTCATAATATAGCGAACCATAATTGCTTTGCTCCAAGTAGTTTTTTTTAAATTTGAAATAAAATTGCTCAAAATTGTATGTTATTGCTTACCGCTATCGCAGCAAGTATCCTGACGTGTTATGTCGCCTGCCTTCGCTCCTGAAGGATAACACCAGAAGCTGTGTGCTGGATTGTGAGGTGGTCGCATACGATCCAGTACAAAAACAAATACTGCCATTCCAGGTACATTTATACACACATTTGATAACACTAACAATCTCGCAGTATTAGATAAAAAAAAGTAATTACAAGTTACAATTTTAAAATAGTGGAATTTTTAAAAATAAATTATATTACCTGTTTTGCTCAGGCATTAATTTTCTCATTTTAGTTACAGTGCGTTTGGACTTTTTTTTCTTATAACTGTTTTGTTTTATGCACTTAATTTCTCACAGTATCAATATTAACTTTATATCGTAGATATTGTCGACGCGCAAACGCAAAGACGCGAACGAATCAGATATAAAGGTCCAAGTGTGCGTGTTCATATTCGACCTGCTTTATCTGAACGGAGAACCGCTGGTCACCTCGCCGCTCAGGAAGCGACGGGAATTACTCAGCGAAAACTTCAATTATACACCAGGTACATACAATCGTCAACCTTATGAAGTCATTAAAATAATCGCATCTCGATAGACTCTCAGCTATTTGCATTTTGCCATTGTACTATCTACCAGAAGTCAAATATTGCTAGTGTAATGTTTTCCTCAGAAATCAATGGTGACAGATATATTAATGCCCCAGGGAAATCTTTAATGGGATAAAAAGTATCCTAGTCCTAGTCTAAGTCTAATACCTTATCTGTATACCAAATTTCATCAAATTCCGTTTAATAGTTTCGGCGTTGGTGATGGCCAAACATCCAAAAAAAAAACACATTTATAATATTAATTGGATTCGCCCGCGGGACCTCGCGGGAAATGTTTAGTAGCATAAAAAGTATTCTATTATCTAAGTCACCTAATACCCTATCTGTATACCAAATTTCATCAAAATCCGTTGAGTAGGTACGGCGTGATTGATAGACAAACATCCAAGTTAAGAAATTTTCACATTTATAATATTTATTTGATTTTTTGATCTAGTAACAAGAACTGTATCAGAAAACTGTACATTATTACGTGAACATTAGCACTACTGCACTTCATATGCAGACTCAACAAACAATCTAAGCGAGTCTTAATATAAATAAGGTTATTTTTAAAATACCAGCAATCTCGCAGTATTGCATAGCCAATATAATAAACGACAAAATTTATTGTACCAGTTTTGATAAATTCATTCTACTTTATTAATTTATCAAAATTGTTGTTTAATGCATTTATGAATTAAACTCCAACATACAAATGTCCAGACAGCACTAAAACCTCGGAAACTTTCAAAGTATTTATATTTGTATTAAAATTTATAGATGAAAAGTTGTCGTATGATGCCATAGTCCTACGATGCTGATGGTATTTTATTTATATATAACCCTGTATGATAATTATAAAGATCTTTTGTTTAAATAACGGGTAGTTTTTTGATTTACATGTGAAGGTGAGTGGGAACGGGCCACGCATAAAGACTGTACAAGTGCGGAGGAGGTCCAGCAGGAATTGTCCGAGGGGGTGAAAGGTTCCTGCGAGGGACTCATGGTGAAGGCTCTGGAGGGACCGCGCTCCAAATACGATATAGCGCGCCGCTCACACAACTGGCTTAAGGTCAGTCACATACAACTGGCTCAAGATCAGTCATACACAACTGACTCATGGTCAGTCACATACAACTGGCTCAATGTCAGTCACACACAACTATCGTCTATTCAACTTCCTCTGAGACAAAATGTAAACAAACAAACCAATGTTTCTCAAACTTTTTTATTGATATTGGTGTGTAAATAAAATTTGTTAATGGGACAAATTATTGTATGGTAGGTATGCAATACAATAAGTCTATTTCTTTTTCAAATAAAACTAGCAATTGTAAGAGTAAAATAATTTTGTTCAGAATCTTCCACGTCTTCCTCTAAGGAACTAGTCGCACCAACTTCTATCACAAAGCTGGCAACCAAATCATCTATGAAACAATCTATTTTTAAAAAATTTTGTTCTTCTTTTATGACATGGTCAATGCACTTTAGCCAATCTCCTACTGTTACCCTTTTTAGAGTATCGGTTAATAAAGATTTTATTTCATTTAACTTAAAACTTAACAATAACATAAAACAACAAACTTAACAACTGAAATAAACAAATAACAAGAATTTAACGAAAGCATTTTGCACGAGTCAACGAGTTGATTGAGAGTAAAAATGGCCGGTGTAACCCGACCAATTACAAAATTTCACGTTTCTACATAAAGTATTTGTCTTATCACTACTCGTCAATTCAGTAGTATTATAATACGTCCAATGTTTGGGAACAGCTTTAATTTTAGATGTTTTTAATGTCACTTTCTTTTTTCATTAATTCTAAATGCATTTATATTTTGACATATTAAAGAACCTTTTTCCAGTTTGTTTACATTTTGTCTCAGAGGAAGATGAACAGACTATAGCTCAAGATCAGAGATGACTGGCTTAAGGTCAGTCACAAACATCTGGCTCAAGTTCAGTCACATACAACTGGACAAGGTCAGTCATATGCAACTGTACATAACATTACGACGTAGACGCATAACAATATCAATAACCTAAATGTCAACATCGTAGTTTGCGAGAGTCATATCGTAATACTACGTCATGTGTTCTCGCGAGTAATTCAAATTAATGAATAAAAATATGCTTTTTTCTTTATACATAAACAGCTATGAAAACTTGAAAAGTAATAGATTACAAATATTTGTCAAAATACACGTGGCATTAAATTAGTTACATAAAAGGAAAAAACTTTCATTATAACTACTTAAAACATAAACGCACTTATAACAAAGATATTACAAAGGTTGCCCAGATCCCATACATTTTTCGCTACGTGTTTTGAATTTGTAGTGTGCGTTTTAGGCCGAGTACAGACTAGCAGTTTCACAAATCACAGACATAATGTTACTTCTACTTTTCTTTTCAAACATAAATATGAATATAATGTCTTTCTTTATTTCAAAATACTTTTATCTACACTCAAATCGAAAAATTCGAATTACGAATTCAAAGATGCTTCTATTCAAACGCACTTTATTAACGCAAATACATAAAATTAAAAATAAAGCTCATTATACCTCCAACTGTATCATGATAGTTATTTAAGATACGAGTGCGGAAAGTAAGGTTTTACGAATAAGGGCCAAATTGAAAACACGAGCGTAGCGAGGGTTTTCATTGGCACGAATTCGAAAAACCTTTTACGCTCAAGTTTCTTACAACATTTTTCAATGTTTTTTGCAAAGAAATAAAACAAATATATAGGTTAATAAAACTAAGTATGTATTAAAGGCAAAAATAATTTGTGAATAATTAAACGTGATATTTGAACATGTTTTCGTGTCATACATTTTTATTAGAAAATATTCGTTCTAGGCTCCTTGAAATACTTTTGCCTCTAAAGTTTGACATATTTTCATCAAGTTTTTTTAAATTTCTTTGGTGCTCGGCCAAAAAAATTTAAAAAAATACTTTTAAGCACGTGTGCAGTAAAGGATTTCAGTACATTTTTATTTAACACATGTTTAAAGACTCACTTTCGGTGTTTACAATGGATTAAAAAAATAGCGCTTTATGAGCAACTGCATTGAAAAACTCAATATAGTACCGCTATAATTTTTTATTCATTAAACTTCTTATATGACAGTTGCATAAACTATTATATCAGAACACTCAAGAAGCCAAAATTCTCGTTTTTTTTTTCTAGATTTCCCTCTGTTCAGTAATGGGTTTTTTTTTGTATGCTTCTTTTATATTATTCTTTTTTTGAATGTTTTATTACACCTGTCTTTGCGGGGTTCTTCTTTTCCCTTTGTCCATTCTTTTTATAATGTTGTTTACAATCTTTTTTGACAATTTCTAATACATATTGATTTTCTAATATACTCGTGTAAGGCTAGTCCGGTAATTTACATTGTCTATTTACAGTTGAAAAAAGATTATTTGGAAGGCGTGGGTGATACGGTGGACGCAGTGGTGATCGGTGGTTACTACGGGAAGGGGAAGCGGGCGGGGACGTACGGAGGGTTCCTGCTCGCCTGCAGGGACGACCAGGGGGATGAGTACCAGTCCCTCTGCAAGATAGGGACCGGGTTCACTGATGAATTGCTACAAACACTTACCGCTGAACTCAAACAACACGTTATAGATGCACCGAGAAGTTATTATAGGTCAGTATACTGAGCGCTACGGATCGCCTTCGTTGTTACTAAGCAACTTTTGCGAGGGTCGCTAACAGGATGGGTGACTAAAATATTATTATCTCAAGCTACTCGTTGTTAAGCCGTCAGTCCTGGTTGGATTTTCGGTCGTTAATAACCTCCAATCCGCATTGGGTCAGCGTGAAAGGTCATGGCTCCATCCTCCTTAACCAGCCATAAGGAAGACCAGAGCCCCTGCCGTGTGGACAGGTGAAAGGGCTGATAATGATGATGTTACTTAGTTTGGGTTTGAGATTGTGGGGGTAAACCGCATTAAAATCCGTTGTGTAGTTTAAAAGATCTTAGTGTACAGACGTTCTTTTATTCCTCTATACCGCCGTCGTGTTTGTTGTCCCAAAGGGGTCATCCATAAATTACGTCTACAATATTTAGTAGAATGTTGTGTGACAAATCCTGAGTTTTGTGTGACGTAATTTATGGACGGCCCCAAAAGTAAACTGAGAGAGAATGCTATTATCATCAAGCCCACCTTTTTTACAATTTTTCAATGATCGATACAGTTCAGTTAATAAAGAAATATCATATTATGTATGTCCATGTATACAGATACGACGCCGGTCACATTCCGGACGCGTGGTTCTCTCCTGCGCTAGTGTGGGAGGTGAGATGCGCGGACCTATCGCTGTCTCCCTCGCACCGCGCCGCACAGGGTTTGCTCGACAGAGACAAAGGCATCTCACTCAGGTTCCCCAGGTACGTCTCTCTATTCTACGACTATTACTTCATATACAGGATTTTTCTAATAGGCCAAACAGATGAGAGCGAGAAGATAAATTAAGGAAAGAAAATGCGAGACACATCACATTCACGAGTCTCGGGTCTGTCCTGCCTATAATAGTGAACTTATTATTTTATACGATTTTGTATTGTCAAAAGATATTTATTTAAAACTAAATGTACCCGCGACTTCGTCTGCTTGGGAAAGTATATCAGGAGAATTGTTTCTTTCCTACGGTTGGGATCGAATCGAGTAGGATCAATGGTCCATGACGCACTACACGGGCCCAATGCGAATTAGTGGGTGTTAACGACTTGCATTACGAAGCACGGAGAAGCTATGAACGATCCTTACGATAGTTATTTTTCTATATTTTTTCTTACTTCTGTCTCTGCTCTTGTGTCTGATCATACGTTAGGTATACTCGTATTAATGTTACTTACGCTGTTTGAACAGATTTTGTTTTGATTTTGATCTTTTAAAAATATTATTTGTTTACCTATCTAGTTGTATGCGCAATCTATTATTGTTTGTCATATTTTTCCATCCAATGCTAGGTTGCTTGAAATAAATTGCTGGCTAGCACTAAATTTGTCTTTAGTACATAGTTATAAATGTTATGTATGAAAAATATATATGTATGCTCGTGTAATTTTGTAATGTTGTACAATAAAGACTTTACTTACTTAACCGGATCGTAAACCGAATGCGCTAACCTCTGATCTTAAAAAGAGGAAAAATTGCATCGAATTGGTTCCGAAACCACTAAACCGATTTTAAAAATTCTTTCACCTACGGGAAGCAACGTTATACTCGGGTGATACAGGTTATAATTTACGCAGCTAGTTAACCGTGAATAAAATAGGTACGCTTGTGGGGTACAGGCAGGTTGAAGGCTGATGATGATTAACAAAATATCATTGACTAAAATTTAATAAAGGTATTTTGGCGAATACAGTATTTCAAATTGATATAACTTTTTAATTTATGAACCGATTGAAATAAAACTTACACTAAATGTTAACGGAAGGCTACCAAAATACAATAGTGAAACTGCATTAAAATCGGTTCTGTCGTTTCTGAGGTAAGAGTCCACAAACGCACAAACAAATTAATTTAATAATAAAAAATATAAAAAAATCGTTGTTTTGTGTTTTGTTACGTTTTTCATATATTGTCAATGTAAAGACATCGATCGGTTACGTTTTCATTATAGTATATAGGAAACAATATATGTTTTATTATTCCACTCTGTCATGGCATTCTTAACAGACTCTGTAAAACTAGCTCACGCATTGACTTTTCTATCGCTAATTGAATTCTAATAAATACTCTCTTTGGATCCAACATAATTTATTATAGAAAAATATCTCTCATTGGTCAGGTTTGTGCGGTCACGTGATGACAAAACTCCAGAACAAGCGACGACCGCCCAACAAATAATGCAGATGTATCTCAACCAGGACCAGGTGAAGAACAATACGCAAACACAACAAGTGGAAGACGACTTCTACTGAACCACCGGGGACTAATCTTCACATCTCATGCTGATATATAAATGTTCTTAAATAAGATTTGTTAAATATATATGTTATTACAAATTGTACATATGCTTGAAATATCTCGTTTTATTCGTTGAAAACCTAAAAGGACCATCTGAAATTCTGTTACGGAGAAACGGGTGCTGCCATCAAGTAACAACGCAGTGCGTCGATGTTTCATCTACGCATCCCTAGATGGCGTGATAGTCATTCAAATCGCCTGAACAAAGTTCTCGAATCCTTTAGTTTCATATTTTTCCTTATTCCACATATCCTGACTGACAAATCCCCATTCGTAGGGATACTAGGATATTTTTTCCAATTAAAGCTACCGATAAGGATATATGGAATCTGTAACTCCACTGTGACGAAATACTATCATAGAGTGATTAAACCCAAAATCTAAATAATTATGGATCAAAGTCAAATGCGAAAAGCATTTCAAATTCTTTTAACAGATAGTAAACTTTCCTATTGTAAAATCATACCAAACATACTGCTATTTATCGGAATTTGTTCCAGTAAATTTCCCGATTCGGCAAGCGCACTCTCAGAGCCGTTATGCTTATATTAAGTTCATTATTGCAATAATTGTGTAAAATAAACGCATACAATAATAAGCACGTCATTTATTTAATCATACATTAAATTTATAACATAAAAGAGATTCTTAAGTTTTGTGATTTGTAATTGTAGAATATAAATTGGATACAATTTAAACTAAAAGTAAATTTAACTATTCATTTAAAATGTACAACAGACACAGTCTCATAGTAATCAATATCGAAATATAATCACAATTATCATAACTCAAACGCGAGTAATTAACACAACCACAGTAGCTGCCGATAAATCCGTCAAGACGTAAATGTCAAATTTGATAAATGGAAATCGTTATGCAAATTGGAAAGAACCCACGTATAAATACGTGAATTAATTGTTTAAAATGAGTATTTATTAAATAAGGTATAATAAAAGAAAAAACATATATACTAGATATTGTCAAGTCATAATTTGATTTTTAAGAAACATTCTAGAATAATCTATGCATAAGATGATACTCCAATTTGCGTAACTGCACCCAATTGTATTTAATGTACTTCAGGAATGTATCTTCCATATATTAGGCCGTCCAAATTCTTTATTAAAGTCAAAACTGGCCGTAAAAATAATTGTACTTATAATCTACTTTAAAAAATCATATTAATATACGAAAATTCGCGATACGACGCAAAACGCTAAGATATCGCTAATTATTACTAATCCAATAAAGGTACTAACAAAATAATAGTTCTATATAATATGGCACAACGTGTATTTGATATTTTCTGTTGAGCATTTCAGTAGAAATGTAGTTTTTTTTTTCAAACATTACGTTATTGAATGAAATTTTCAAGTATTGAGATTCGAGCCGTAGTCGTATGTTTAGCTGTTAAAAAATATTTACAAAATATAAACCGATTACACGTAAAATTTAATTACAATAATAATTATCACTAACCATAATTAAGGTTTCACATTGAGTTTTATTACGAACACTAAGAGAATGGAACATGATAAAGGTTACCATAATCGATTCTGGATACTAAGATAATCCTTAAAATTATTAGGTACTAAATGTTATTTCCCATATAATCGTGTCGATCGATCACGAGAAAAATACTTTCGCTTACTCTCGTATATTAAGTCACTATATCCTTAAGATATATCAAATTACCCTCATATTTGGTCTTTGAGATATGATACATTCAAATATTTATTTTATATTATTATTTAAAATCCGCGGGCTTCCCTATATACGTATTTTAGGTATCATTCCCATGTAGCAGACATAAAACGGATAAGTCTTTTTTTGATTTGGCAAGTTCCGACATTAAATTGATAATCGCCATTTTAAGAGAGTTTTTTTTCCGAATGGCAATACAGAACACAGCCCAAGAATTACATTAGTGAAATATAATCATAAAAATATTAAATATCATAAGAAGGCAAGTATAGTCGATTTGGATATGTAATAGTACATTGATAAAAAAAGGGAAATCTTAAAATATCATAATTCATCTTAATATATTGTCACTTTAAAGAAATTATTTATCTACAAGTGATTAGTAAGTAGATCATGACGAATGTGACGCATTCTAACGATTAGGACTACTATAATAAAATGTCATGAACGTTTGAAATCGTCCGTTCACTAAGCATTATAGACGACATCATACAACAAATATAATTATAACGTTTTAAGTAGACTACAATTATTATTGATTCTGTTGTTGTATTATGAAGTTGTGTATGTATGTATGGGTTCACAGAAGCGCACCGTGTTCCGGCGGCGGCGGTGAGCCATCACCGTCCGCTAATAAATTCGCTTGTTCCTGCAATGAAACATATTAGTTGAACATCCAAATTCTATTTAAAACACTTTAATTAATGATGCAATTGGAAGACAATTTAAGTCACTTCTGTTTAAAGTCTGGATGTCAATATTAATAACATACACAAAACTCGCCTAATTCATTTTTATTAATCTTTCCTGAAGTCATTTTCTTACATTAAATACGCATTTAAGTAATCGGTAAATGTTTTACCGTAACGTTAGATACGGTACGGCATTAATTATATAATCACCTATTTCTATTATCTATTCTAATATTATAAAGCTGAAGAGTTTGTTTGTTTTTTTGAATTTGAATCTTAGAAACTACTGGTTCGAATTGAAAAATTATTTTTGTGTTGAATAGACCATTTATCGAGGAAGGCTTTAGGCTATATAACATCACGCTGCAACTATTAGGAGCGAAGAAATAATGGAAAACGCGGGCGAAGTCGCTGGCGGCCACTAGTAAGTTATAATTCTGGGGTAGGGCACCATGCTACTCTGGGATAAGCACGTCTCCCCCTTCCTACACCCATCTCACAGACTATGAAACTTCATAGTATGTAAAGATGGGTGTCTTTACATACACAAGAAGTTTCATGCCTAGCTCGGTTAAACGTTCTTTTTTTCTTCATGTCGCCAAACTTAAGGCCAGTCTACCCAAAAACAATTTATTGTACAGTTTGAGCTCTCGACCTCCACGATCCGTCACCGGGTTACGGAATAAAAAAATAACAGTAACGATTAGTGCAAAATGGGCGTTATATAGAATATTTAAATATCAAATCAACTGGTAATTTAATTTATTCATTTTTTATGTTGCAATATCTGGTTTGGTGAACTTTAGTTAGAATTCGTAATGTTTGTTTTTATTAGATCTGAATCGAGGACTTAAGAGTACGTGACGTCACGTGTGGGGTAAAAAAATAATTATCACATGCAGTTTTTATATTCAAACTATTAAAATGATCCTTTAGTAAATACTTATAAAAATTTTTTCACTTTAAACGTTTCCCGCAAATGACGTCACGAGCTATGATTGGTGTTCTCTTTAACTTGAGACATAGATTATTTTATTTCTTCTTAAAAATGTAAATCATCATTATCATAAGTCCCGTAAATTCATAATGCGCTGGAGCCTTATCTAAATAACATCCGCGTGACGTTATATGAAAATAGAAAGTATAAATAGCACAAAAGGCAATTTATTAAATATCGATATATTTATGACAAAAATTTAATAATATAACAATTAAAAAAAATATATGAAAAAATATCATTTTGTAATAACGCGATAACAAAGGGAATGGACGGATTTTTTAAAACATAACCATAAGTAACAATGAAATGAGAGACATTATGTTAACTTATTGTGAAAATCGTAATAGCAGTTGCTATTTGCAACAAAACTTAACAATAACAATCAAAACCAACAAAAATGATGTGTGATCTCAACGCTACTGATTTTCGAACGCAATTACGTCATCAAAATGGCGGCCAGGCACATTAGCAATTTGCGGGGATTATAACAATAAATACAACGAATCATTAAATTTATAAAATTTTTAACTAAACACATTTTATTTCTGTCCAATTCCTTATTGATCAAATAATAAGTTATGTTTTTATATTTTTTTAAATGATTTCAGTGAATAGTGTGTCCTGATTATCATTATATTAAATTATTTTTTATTAGTTCATACGTAAATGAAAACATTATAATAACTTATTACCTCAGGGTTATTTTGTGGCGGCGCGTACATACTCTCGTACACAGGGTTCGCAAAATGATTACCACCATTCTGAAACAAATTCATATACTAGTTGAATTACAAGATAATACAGATAAAAACATTTATAACTGTATTAAGTGGGGTTTGATTGGTAACTATTGATCGTAAGGGCAATAGCAAAATCTACAAATATTTATACTTATTTTAGTCTCGCAAGCAAGTTCGAGGGAAGTGAATGATCGGTATATTTACCGAGTGTGGTCTGGGCTCTGGTTCGTCGTCGGCAAGATACATCGGATTGTTGATCTCCACGTTGTCTGACAGGCGCGCGTGTATGAAGGCGCCGCTACAAACCACGACATTACAACAAATCAATACATGTACAGTTCGAGATTCCATATCATGGTAAATTCTTACTATACTATCAACATTGCACGGAATGTCAGAATTAGGAATGCTTAAATACATTTATATTCTGAGATCACAGCGTGCCAAGTGTCCAAGTGGATTTTTACGTATTCTTTATTAAGAATATTTTTCAGTATAGCATTGTGAATGTGAAATTGATCAAATATAATAACTTTTATATTTTATTAAAATCTGTAAATAGAGTGGGTCCCAGGATTCTTCCCTGTGGCACACGGAAAGTAACAATTCCTGAACTAATTGTTAGCAAACCAATATGTATCTATATTGTTAACAACATTTACCTTGGTTACAAAGAGCTTCCATTTCCTCCTAGAGGTTCGGAATTAAGAAAAGTGTCGTACACATATAAAATTATTGCTACTCAAACCAGTTGTTGTATACTAACTGTCGTCGGCGATGTAACAAGTATAACGCAGCGAGTACTGCGGCCAACAGCGCAAACAGTGCCAGCAGAGCACCCGCCAGTCCGCCCCCGCCCCCTCCCCCTCCAGCGCCTTCCACGCCTGCGCACGCGACCCCCATAGGACACACGCAGTACGGCGTGCCGGGCTCCAGGGGATTCACTTAATAAATAAACACAAATAGCCTTAAAAGAAACCGTGAGTTACATATAAACATGTTCAATTCTTGTTCATGACGGGCGATTATATTTGGCTTGAATTTTTATCTAGAACTGAGATTGTGAGTGACACTAGATACTTCAAAATAAAATAATCTTATTTTTATAACTCGATTAAACCAAGTAAAAGGTACAATGGAAAATAATGTGACAATTTTTTTGAAAAAAAGGAACTCAAAGCATCAGTTGGATGAAACCTTGTTATGTAATATATTAAGTTTTTATTGGGTTAAATTATAACAATACCTGTAACAGTCTACGTATTATTACGATTGAAAATTCGTTGAAAATTACATTTTAATATTTATTTTTTTAAATAATTGGATTTCCATTAATTAGTACCTATTTAAGGGGTTTTCTTTGGATATAGTTTTTTTTATAGTAATCGTAAATTTTTGTTTATGAATTTTAATCATAATCATTAATAAGATTAATTTTAAGGCCCACACTGGTACTCACGTGCCGGTTTCCACACGCAAAGGGCGGGCGGGGCACACATGGCCTCCAGGCAGGCGTGGTCGTGTCCCACGTACTGCTGACAGTGAGGTCCGCCCCACGGCCCCGCGCACGCGCACGCTCCCACCCCCGACCCCGATAACACCACGCATCGCCCCCCGTGCTCGCAGCCCGGCGCGCACGGACCGGTCGACGAATCTAAGGAGTACATACACAGGCTAAGTTTAATCGACTAGCTTTCTGACAACGACTTCGCCCGTGTGGTTAAAAGTTAACAGATGTTGTATTCAACATATATAAATAAATAAAATAAAATAAAAACCGAAAATATATTTGAATTATACCCACATCACAAGTTGGTATTACTTATACGCGTATTTATTTAGTTGTTGTTTCAAGCATATTAAAAAGTCCTTAGAAAAAATTATGCGTGCGTTCATTGTATTAATATAATCAATGTTGGGCATAAGCCAATTAATATTTTCATCATCTTAGTAATTATGAAATTTTAATTGGAATTAATCTGATAGTTGCGTATTGCAATTAATTCATTTAAATTTACTTACGTTAATTTATTCAAACTTGACAGTTAAAAATTTATAAATTGTTAATTTATATTTCACGATAAGGTATTCTACTCTGTTTGAATAATACTTGTCGGTGTTATTTTAATTTAAAAAAGCCATACAACAAATTTTTCGGAAAAATAAACATGTTTTCTTGCCTTTTAGTTTTGGTGCGATTTCTTGATATATTTTTAATTGCAAAAATTACCCTATTAACAATTGATTGATTGATATACACAATTAACTATTTATTAATTGCTATATTAATTGTACTTTGAAATTTTTGCCCAACACTATACGAAAAATAATTTATTATGATATAGGGTCAGTTGTACGAACGTCCATTTGATGGCGTTTTTAAGCTCTACTGTATGTCGAATTTGTATGGGTAATATCGCTTTATACTAATGACAACTTAAATGGACATTTGTGCAACTGTCGCATAGACTAGTTGACGCAGCGAACTTCACGCCGCCCAGTTTGTATATATTTTACTCTGTCTATGGTATGGGAAATGAAACTTATTCTCTCAATTATTACAACTGTCGTCGGACTTCTAATAATATTTTAAAAATTAATTAAGTCGAATCTATCCAGCCGTTATGGAGTTGACACAATTAAAGATTAATTTTTAATTGCAGTAGTAGTGGCATAGTTATCATAAAGTTTGACCATTATTACAGTTTTATTGAAACTTCAACGGCTTATGTTGAAGCTTCAATAAAACTAATAATGTAATAAAGCTACAGTTTTTATTTGCAAATGATGACAGCACTAGTGTCGTAATATTATAGCTCAACTTTCACTAAGCGTGTATTGATGATTATAACATAAGAAGCAAATATATTATCTACTAACATTGGTTAAATTTTAAATGACATTGAAGGTTGTTATAATGCAACCACACGCACTGCTAACACATTAATTATACATTATTTAGTTGAATTTCGTGGGAAAATTGAGATCGTCACAAGTTTATTTTGTAAGTGACGTTCACAGAGTTTTGAGACAAAAAATATATATTTCTTGTTCCTGCACTGATCGTAATCATATTTTATATTTTTTACCGTTTCATCATTAAGTTCGTTAACTTATAAAATGCTAATAAAATTTTAAAATATTGCGATTCCATTTCGAGTTATGTAATAATTATTATTTTATAAAGCATTATAAAAATGTAGATAATAGTTCTGAATTGAAGCTCGGATGCAATGTGTTCCAATGTCACTGGATATTTGCTGATAAAACATATCAAGTCAAATTCGACGGCTCAGCGTATTCGTTGTTAAGCAGTAATTGTACAAGCTCTTCTTCTTCTTTGGCGTTTCGTAGAAATGTAGAAACGTAAAACCGTCGAATCTATATACATCCGCAGTCATCAACACCTGTCGATCCGAACTGGGTCCAAGTAGCGGACTAAAGGCGTCAACTCCCTACGTTATGTCTTGCGTAGAGGAAGTCTATAGTCTAATTATACAAACATTAATAGGGTAATGACGACATACACAAACGTCTATTAAAATTGTCATTAGTTTAAAGCAACATTACCCATACAAATTTAACATTCATTAGAGCTTAAAGGCGTCGTTAAACCTTAATGGTTGTTTGTGCAACTGAGCGATAGACTAGTCGACATCATGTCAAGTTAAAACCGATTTTTTGACGATCGATTTTAAATTTAAATCTGTTGTCTTTTAAGTTCAAAATTGATAGCAAAAATTGCACTTTGTAGCTACCTGACGTGCTATTGTAGGTATATACGTATATTACTGATAATGACACTAATTCTTTAAAATTGCGATCCATGCACCGACACTAGTGTACAGGTTTGTTGATTTGTTACTCATAATAATTAATATTGTTAACATGGATATTAATTTGTCATGGATGATGCAAATATCGTTACTACTATTAAGAGCTGGTCTTTTGGATATCTTTAACTTGTCAGGCAAAAAACTTTAAAACATTTTTAATTAAATGTTGCACAAAATAATATTTACTCAAGTTAGATACTGTAGGAGTTATTAATTTATCATAAACTCACAATTTTCATCGTCATAAACAATTCAGTTTATAGAAAGTGTTAATTTATATGGCCCTTCGAGCCGGATATGAACTAGCAGTATAGTCTTATTCATTTAAACAGTCTATTTTTGGACTATTTACCTTATTGTGACGTCTAAATATACGGTTTAAATTGCTAAAGGCTAAAGTGTTAATTTATATGGTCCTTCGAGCCGGATATGAACTAGCAGTATAATCTAATTCATTTAAACAGTCTATTTTTAGACTATTTACCTTACTGTGAAGTCTAAATATACGGTTTTCGATAAGACAAAATGTCTCATTTGAGACCCTTGTCCCTACCAAACGTTTGTTGGGACTCAAGTACATTACATCTATATTAAATGTTATTAATCTCGTATACACTATATTTTATTTGACTAAACTGTTCCGCAATACATACATTTTTATTAAATTTATATCTAAATTATAGTAATGATCAGTCCATTATTTACTGTCAAGTTAAGAAATATTTAAATGTTATTTGCTCACCATAATCTCTTCGTCTTCGACGACGGTAGCCCATTACGAAATTATAATTCAACACTTTTAAATGTCACATAAACTATTAATCCAACACGTGTCAATATTTATTGACATTAACTTTTAAAGAACTATTTTATAAAGGTCAATTATTAAAGTACTAACATATATTATACAATGCGGTATTAATTTATACAAATAGTAAAACTAATATCACAGTGCGCGCGCGATCTATATTTCGCGCGATTTATTTACACACGGTGCGCACGCGCACCTTCGCGCAGAGCTATGCCCGGTCTGTCTGACGCTACATCAAACAATCGTGTAGCGCCGCCGGCTAGGTTGCGACATAGCAACGTGTTGCGGAAAATACTGTCAAATTCAAATTTAAACATTTTGTTAATATCGTGTGATAATTTGTATAGTGACTGGATGTTTTTTTAGCTATAAAAGTCATTACCGGAGCCTTTCTTACCCACGTAAGGGCCAAGAGTCCCAAACGAGGAAGGTGGTTAATTTTTGGGTCCGAATCCACGGGCTCATCCATCTTTTATTATAGACATGATCAACAATAAATTATTGAATTTTGAAACCTGATTTTTGAATTTGATTCTGACGGCTAAGTGTACAAGCCAGTACAAGACTGGGAAAATTTTAGTAATGAAGGTTTCCAAGTAAGATAATGATCAGGCATAAGCTAATTGCAATCCTCTCAGTATTGTATACCGATACAACATAGTTGACAGAACAAGGACAAACTCAGTGGAGTATTGAAGCCGTATCTTTTACGATAATATATTAAAACAACAATTTTAGAGAACCCCGGTAGTTATTACATATATAAATTGTATGTTTTATTTATTAAATTTAAGATTATGCACACTCGAACAGTTGATTGGTTTTATTCGATTAAGAATTATATTCAAAAGTTCACGAACGTGATAATGTTTAGTAGGAAAAAAAATATAACATACGAATATGCCTAGAAACCAATCTCCGAAAGACGACCAGTATCAATAAATTAATTGCGCAAACAATCTTATACAAACGATCGCGTAAGCGGGAAAAGCCGTATTTTTTTATAATTCGTAGAAGCTACATTTCACACAAACCACTTACATCGAACAGGTGAAGGGAAACCCCCGGTTGCTACAGCAAAATATAATTATTTTAATAACCTTCAACTAGAGCGACGAACTCTGTATCTATTTATCTATCTCCAAGTTGGAATCCCGGCTGGGTATACCTTGTAATTAGCTTGTGATAATATTATGACGTTATAGGTAATATGCATTATTGTTTTACTTTGCTAAAACATACAGATACAAAAATTATTTTATAGGCTGACTGAATTATTTAGTATATGTGGTTTTAGTAAAGGAATTTACAAAAACTTAATACTATCAGGTAATTTAGTAATTCATTAGTATAGTAACAATAAATATGAATTAACGTCAGCCTACAAACGTTGTTATGAAATATGTAGGACAGGTAAAATCCTCTGTATGTGACTCACTGAGCCGGTAGCGGAGACGTCGCGACCGCACGTCAAACAAATGGACAACTAGTTTTTTTTATCTATAATTTAACTGGAAGAGTAGGTGCATGCGCATAGTTTATGATGAAATTATAAACCAGTGATAATTTGATACACAATGATATTCTACAAACAAACTTTCCTAATTAATGAATACTGCACTAAAACAAAGTAAAAATATAATATTTTATGTATTAATAAAAAAAAGTGTCAAATTTAGTGAGTTAGTTTTAAAATAATGATCAGAGATAATCTAGTTCCTAAATACAATATAAACCTTAAGCCGCGATATAAATGTCTATGACATTAGGGTTTCCAAATTTTGAGAAATAAAATTCGGGACACTCTAACGGTCGTCAGAAGTAATATGACTTCAGTTCAAAGTATGTCGTCATCATTGTTATCAGCCTATGTTTGTCCAAATGCACTCTCATCCAGTTTTTGCCAGCTACCTTGCGAAGATCATCTTCCCATTTAGTCTGAGTGCGTCACATACTTCGTTTGCTGATCCGCGGTCAAAATAATAATGTCATAAGAGAAATAAAAAAATGACTTTAAGGATGCGAATTTCATCGCGGCGGGATCCGCGTGGAGATACCTAAAAGGTCCGAATTTAGCAACTGCTTAGTGTTATCAAAATTCGGGACACAAAATGAAACGCGGGCAACATCGTTGAAATTGGGACTGTCCCGGAAAATTCGGGACGGATGGCAACCCTGATTGATATCGAGAATAATATTTATGAGTAGACACTAGGAATCAGACATCTGTATAGATTAATAATTGTCCCTATAATGCCTGCTTTGGTATAGTGCCCAGAACAACTTGAATGTACTTCGCTAGTGATGTCGCTTCCATTTATGGTACATCTATCGGTGCGGCGTGTGAAGGTCGCCTCCCCCCCAGCGAATAAGGTCATGATCCGTTACAAAAGTGAAAACACTTATATTGAACTTCATATAAAATGTCAGTCTTTATCAATTCATCCGCAATATTAATATGCTAAAGATGAATTTGTGATTGGTAAATTATAAAAACTAAAAACACTCATGTCTCGTCACCTGTGTTTTGTAAAGTCACATAGTAAGTGTTAGGCAAGTCAAACAGTAATCGATCAAAGATGTAGAAAGGCCCCGGGTTCAATTCCCGGTCGGATTTTTATATAGAAAATGGATTTTTATATAGAAAATGGATTTTTCTATATTATCTCGGGTCTGGGTGTAGATTTTTTATCATGGTGAAACCGGAGAAATGTATGTGATGTTGTCTCTATTTTTTTTTAATTATTATTAAATATTTGTATATGGCAAGATGTCTTTTAAAATTAATAGAAGAATCCAACTATATTGTTTGTTTTTTAAATAATAAAACTAAAATAAATTACCACAAATAATACTGAATGTTAAAGTGTACTTAAGTCTTATTTAACCGAGATCTTGTTAAGAGTTTTGTAGTTACGGCGAGTTTGTAGCAAATTGACCTTTTCTGAACAAGTTTTCTACTAGCGATATGCAAATATATACGTACAGATACAAAAAATTATTCAATTCAAATATATGATGAATATTTAATGGAAACAATATAATATCACATTCCCCACATGTTATAATATCACATGGAAACAATATATCCCCATCTCAAGGTGCCAAGGACCAAGGGGATTTTTTAAGAATTTTGTATCAAGATTAATTTTCAGTATGGCATTGTGAATGCAAAATTAATCAAGTGCTTGAAAGATTCGTCAGTCCTGTTAGGTCCCGGGTAGCTCAGTGGTTAGAGCAGTCGTCCGGATTGCGAAAGGTCGTGGGTTCAATCCTCATCTCAGGGTGCCAGGGACCAAGGGGATTTTTTAAGAATTTTGTATTAAGATTAATTTTCAGTATGGCATTGTGAATACAAAATTAATCAAGTGCTTGAAAGATTCGTCAGTCCTGTTAGGTCCCGGGTAGCTCAGTGGTTAGAGCAGTCGTCCGGATTGCGAAAGGTCGTGGGTTCAATCCTCATCTCAGGGTGCCAGGGACCAAGGGGATTTTTTAAGAATTTTGTATCAAGATTAATTTTCAGTATGGCATTGTGAATGCAAAATAAATGCACTACGAAAACTTAAAGAAAGTGACGTTACCATAACCTAGCTTTAAGTGAACAGTGCGCATGTAAATACAAGTACATCGCGAATGTAAACATTATATCATATCCATAACACCACCCACTTATAGACGTTAGTTAAATTATGAAAGTATACAGACGTAAGTAGAGGCTCTGACCGGGTTTTGAGCGTGGATTTATTCATTCGCGACTCCGTCGAGGTTTTTCCTTCCTTGCGTTTTGCCCGCATACAGCTCTTTAGCACAGTAATAAATAAGCAAATCATGCTCTTGAAGAGTTCAATCGCTTTATCAAAAAAAAAAATAACAATGTTCATTATCACCGAGGTTGTGTCGTGACGAATCAAAATTGTAAGACTTAATATTTTTTTGCGCTACTTGTTCCAGTAGCTTTTTGTATGTTATCTTATTTCCGACGAACAAGCTCTTGATGTGCGAATAGATGGAAAAAATCTGTGTTCGCAAAGTGCCACTGAATATTTCTTTAAATTAAGAATTACGAATTCAAAGACGATTCTATAAATACGCACTTTATAAACGCATAAAAATAAAATTAAAAATAAAACTCATTATAGTACCGCTATCTTTTTTTAATCATGAAACTAGCCTTTGGTTTTAGGCTGAATATAAAAAAAATGGCGCACTTATGCGTAGTTTGAACTTAATTTCCCGCGCTTCCCATAAATTTTTTTGCCGATCGTGTTTTTATATTCGGGATTCCAAAAAAATACTTCCTTCTAACCTACCTACTTTGTTTAATTAAAAATTTTCCTACGAGTGAAGATAAAGTAGTGTATGAAACTGCATATAACTTAGGTATTAAACAGACTCGTGTTTTAATATTGAGTATTGAGAGTATGTATTGAGCAATATAAACGAGTGTATCTATAAATACTATAAAAAAATTATCTTCCCGCTGTCTGTACAGTGAGATATTTTAGACTACACAAATGATTTGAATGCGATTTTCGTCAATATACAGAGTGATTCAAGAGGAGGGTTTATATGTATAATATATGCCACGCGGGCGAAGCCGCTGGCGGAAAACTAGTTCCTTATATTTCCGCTATCGGAAATTAGTACTACGAGATTTGCAACGGCAATAACTGACGTATAAAGTTTCCAAGACAAGATCAATAAATTGCAAGAGCTACTATTATATTGCTACTTCATATGTGTGCGAGGCACACTGACGAGTAGGCCTTGGACGTTTGAGAAATAATGATGCAATGTTAGTTTTTGAAAAAAAATTGCAAATCGTTAAGCTGGCAACCTTGTTTTTTTAAATATCAATAACGACTCGTGCACTTACTGTTTCTTTAACAATATCATGAATAATGATCAATTTGTCCGTCGGCAAGCGCATCGTTTTGAGAATGTTTTGTTCCAGCCACCAATAAGGATTTGTTTTCATCGGCTTCGGAAACACGTAAAATTGGTAATTTGAAATAAACAGTAAAAAGGTTTTACACACTATTTTAAATTACCCGGTTTTCGCGATAGGCATAAATTCGATTACAAAAACAAATGTTATTACGAATATTAAGTATATAAGTATGCTCGAGGATCCCTTCTTTACTCTTGACCCAGGCCCGGATCTAGAAGAGGGGGGCAAGTGGAGGCACTAGCACCGGGCGCCAGTGTTAGTGGGGCTACTACAGGACGTATTTTCGTCAATTATTATATATAAGTGTTCAAGTGCTTTAAAGATTCGTCAGGCCTGTTAGGTGCTGGGTAATTCAGTGATTAGAAGGTCGCCCGGATTGCGACGGTTCATACGTTCGCGTCCCATCTCAGAGTGCCAGGGACAAAGTGGTTTTTTAAGCATTTTTAAAATATGATAAAAGATTGTTGTTAAAACTTCAAAAGACACGGTAGTAGTACCTATATACCAATGACAAAGTTAAAAGGAAAACTATTATATTAAGTTGGTTAAACAAGTTTACGACTCGAAAATTTCGAACGACTCCATAGAAAGATCAAATTAAATTCATCATTTTCATTATATAATTAAAAAAAAAACAACACGAACATAATAGAAGATGGATAGAATAGAACATATATGAATTAATTAGTTATCAAGACTAATAAGATAATTTATATTTTAAAACCTTTTTGACACTATTGATAAGACACTACAAACCCAACTAAAACCATAGTACCAAAATAGTATAGTTCCTGTGTCCATGCAGATAAAGAGATAAAATAAGAGTAACTTCGATAAGAGAACATATTTTTGTTGGGAATTAGTTATTTTTATCTTACATTAATTCAAGCGAGTTATGCTTGTCCTGAAGTTAAGAGAGTAAAAACGCTCCTTAACATGCTTTATTTTTTAATAGGGTAAATAAGTAACTTATATTGATTAAATCATTTTATAATGACGTGTGGTATCATTTTACCTGACAAACGTTGAAAGTAACAACAAAAACATTTAATTTTAATACCAATGAAACACTGGTAAATATTTGGGTAAGTATTGTCTGATCAGAATAACATATCAGGTGTGTGATACAAATATTCTAAAATAAGTCTTTCGTTTTCTTCGGTGCGGTCGATCTATGCGCGGAGCCGGACGAGTCTATGAGTACAGAAAGACGTTTTCGCGTGAAGAAGTAAAAAGTTCGCTAGGAATACCGACTAGGCTACGAAAACTTAAAGAAAGTCTTACAATAGAATAACTAATCTAACAAGGGAATCGGACAGCAAATGGATAAAAAATTTAAAGATTAATCGTGAAATATATTTGTTAAATAATAATCATTTTTAAATAAATTTTTGTAGTCTGTGTCTCACATCAAACGAAACACCAATAAGAGTGCATGACGTCATTTGTGGGTAAATTGTTAATAAAACTATATAGGAAACATTTTAACGATTTACTGAATGTTGAATAGAGTAATAGAGTCGGGTCGGATATAATAATAAAATAATACTCACGATGCGGCAAGTAGTCATGGTCGTCGCCGCCGAGGTTTTTGCTTCTGTTGTCCGACACTTCCGTGTGTTTATGTGATTGGTTATCATGTGCCGGTGGTGTATGGTCATGTGCCGGTGGTGTATGGTCATGTGCCGGTGGTGTATGGTCATGTGCCGGTGGTGTATGGTCATGTGCCGGTGGTGTATTGTTATGTGCCGATGGTATATTGTCACGTGCGGGTGGCGTGTTGTCATGTTGCTGTGTACAGTCGGCGTCAACGCAGGCTCTTCGCTGGCATCGCTCGCCGGTCCACTCCGCGGTACACTCGCACCAGACGCTGGCGCCGGACACGTGACATATGCCCTGGTACAACAACGAACGGTCAAAAGCCGGCCATATCATACAAAACTGTCAATATCCACTTGATTTTAAACGTTAATATGCTGTGGATAGAGTAGTGCTGGATTGAGCTAGAGCGGTGCCTGTAGCAAATTTTTTGAGGGGCCCTTGATTTGTTAAATATAAAGTGTTTCATTGAAATAAAAAATAATTCTTAAAAACAAACTTTTATTGATTTGTAACATTTCCGCCAACAACCGCCAATACGACTGTTCAGACTCATATTGACTTACAATATGTTATGTTGTTAAGTAACTGTACCTGGCCTGGATCTTTATTAAACAACTTTCTGCCATTGATTTCATTTATTTCTGCATTCACATTGATTTCTGCCATTTTTATTGATTAACTAACTCCACGTTCCATTACAAAATCCATATCATAGCGTAACGTGGCATTCCTTTTTGCTACTCATACCACAGACTAAACATTAACTCTAACACAATGTGAGTTTAAACAGAAACGTGACTTATTTTTAATACTGACGGAAAAATTAATTTATTGGTCAGACCATAGCGAGACTCCTAATTACGCGGAGCCAATAAACGTGCGGGGCCCGTAGCATTTGCTACGTAGCTAATCCGGCACTGGGATAGAGTACAAAATAACGTGCGAAAATTCGAAATATTTTGGTAACCCGACTTGCAACCGTGTTTATATAGAATACCATTTGAGGAAGACCACGACACACCTTTCATGATCAAATCAATAGCGTGCTTTTAGTAGGTGATGTCCGAAGCCATAAAAACCGGCGAGGATGTATGAAAATGGCTGAGGATGTATGTAAGGAACGTATGTTATGGCGTTCGATCCTCTCTGCTTACCACTCCAGGGATACGACGTGAAGATATATATAGATAAAATAATAATATTACAAAAGTAACCGTGAAGTAAAAAAACATTATTCTTGATCGTAGAGTCATCATCATCATTCCCCTGCCCTTATCCCAATTTTATTTGGGGTTGGCGCAGCATGTCTTTTTCTTCCATATCTCCCTATCTGACGTCATCACACTAGTAACTTCCTTTCTCACCAGAGTATACTTCTAAAAAAAATCTACTAAAAACCTTAATAAATGAAATGGTGAAAGTAAATAGAATTAAGTGCCGTTATAAAATATAAGGACAAATTTTGATTTTGAGGACTTTATATTTTTAAAGAAAGCATTACTAAATATAAAATAAATACACTTGAAGATTAATTTTGCATGTGTAATTATAACTTTTAGAGTGAGACCGTCTCAAATAAAACCATACATCCGTATAAATCGATTCGTTCTTCATTTGCCACTTGGGCGATAACGACTAAAAATATTAATTTCACTATCGCTTTGCAGATGTTAGCTAATTTATTTATGCATAACATATCAAGTATTGATTAATCCGTGTAACAAAAACATACACAAAGATGACTGTGATAACATGCAACTTATTATACAGTAAAATAAATATACAGTAATACGTACGTGTATTTAATGTAATGATCAGTATCTATAATACGTGTACCTGGTTGAGACAGTAGTGTATGCACAGTGCTGGTACGCATGTGTGCGTGCCGCCTACACGCACGCACACAGATCCACTCTCACACACACCCGCGCCCTCCTCCACCGCCCCACCATCCACGGCACACCGCTCGCAGCGCTCCCCTGCGTCACATTACCAGATGTTCAATACTTAAGTCGAGGTATTAAGAAATTGTAACTTTTGAAACCAATTTTATTCTTAGGCTAATATTGGCCTAATTAAAATTATATTATGAAAATTAAACTTTGATGCCTAATCTCTATTTTAGATAAGGCAATCATGATCCCAAGGCGAATCAGCCGTAGGGCTAAGTGTTGGTATTTGTTCTTTTGGGTTTTCCAGAGTTACTACTAAAATTATTAACGGCTTATACATTATTGTAGATTATAATTGTAATACTGCCTAAGTTATTTAAGGTGAAACTCCAGAAATGTACTTCACAAATGTTTTGTTTTTATTCTTTGTTTCCAATGCATACTCATTGATCCACTATATATCGAAATACTGTTTTAAATGTTAAGAACTAACAGCTACCTTACATAGACTTGTTACATGTTGCATTGGCACCGTAAGCAAAGTTTATGTTTTTGTTATTTTTTGTTTGTTCTTCCTACCACTATACATGTTGCTATTTGTAACATGCACCACTATGCATGTTACTATATGTATTAGATACTATATGTAACATGTATAGTGGTAGGGGCGCTGCCTAAGAAACTGGTTATCCCAGATCGGTAGTGGTTTTGGCACTGCCAAATTACATGTCATGTTAAACGCCTACACCTAAGTTAGCACATTAAGTACCTACTCATACGTACTATTGTGGTATGTGCAAAACAAATAAATCATTTAAATCAGAAGATGAACGAATCCCCTTATAAATCAGTGTTGGTTATGAGAAAGAATACGATTGATGTGTTGTTAAACGCACTCATATACAAATGGCTCGAAAAGCTTTGCGGGACACGACAATATGCTAATAGGGCTATAATTTCTCAATCGGTGACGGAACCCGACTAATAAATAGAGCTGACATAAGCAGGTTTCCACTGTATCGGAAACTTAACCAGCCGCAAAGATTTTTGAAGAATTTTGACATTAAAGTCAGGCTAAGTTCTTTTGCGCATTTCTTATAGAAAAAAATGTTGGAATACCATCCGGCCCTGCACCCTTCATTGAAATAGCTATTTTAGACAACACGTCCATGTCCGTCCCACGTGTGTAAAGAGATTTGTAAAGCTCGTTATTTTTTTAACTGTAAATAGGTATTATATAACACTGTCGCCCGGGGCATGTTCCCCACTAGCCCCCCCTTAGATCCGGGCCTGCGTGTGTGACACGTACCCGTGTATCCGTCGGTGCACATGCAGACGGCGTGTTGGCCAGCGGGACGGCACTGTCCCTGGTTGTAGCAGCGAGCGGTCCTGCACGGGTCCGCCGCCCGCGCCCCGCTCACCTCACACCGCACCCCCGAGTACCCGCCCACACACGTGCACTACACCGACAAAACACACGTTACAATATACTTCACACATATAAAGGCGGAAATAGAATAGTGATAAAGATCAATATTCTTAATGGAAAATGTTTTGAAAATCCATACTGGTACTTTGAGATGGGATTCGAACCCACAACCTTTCGCAATCCGGGCGACTGCTCTAACCACTGAGCCTAGAACCTAACAGGACTGAAAAATTCGTCATTTTTCATTAAGTATATTTTTCAGTATAGCATTGTGAATGTAATATTCGGGTGTACACAGTAAACAGGTCTTTTTTCTGGTTTATCTTCAATGCTTATTATATTTATAATATTGCTTAAATTGATTATGAAAAACAAATATTTTGTCAACATCGAAATTTTGAATAATTACAAAAATATAATATTATTAAAAATAATAAATGTACACTGTATAAGACATTGAGTAATTTAGTATTTATGGGACGAAAATATATGAGTATGAGTATCTCAAGCTACTACTAAGCCGATATACTAAGCCGTTGGTCCCGGCTGCATTTGTAGTCGTTAATAACCTTCAATTCGCATTGGGCCATCGTGGAGGGTCATGGTCTACCCTCTTTAACCATCCATAAGGAAGGCCTGAGAGCAGTGGAGACGTAAAAGGGCTGATGACGATGTGTAGATTACCTTGAGCGGCTGCAGGCCAGTATTGGGATCTGGTGTGGCGGTTGTGTCGAGGGCGCAGTGACCGCGGTGCAGGCAATGGTCCCGGCAGCGGTACTGTCGACAGCCGCGCCCCGTCCACAGCGGCTCGCACACGCACGCGCCCGACACGCACCGCCCACCCATCCCGCACCCGCCCACGCACTCGCCCGCCGCCTGACCCTCCGCCCCCACACGGCCCACCCACGAGGGCACACACTTCATACTCTCCTGTACATCAAACTTATATTGTTAAAAGGAAAATTTGTATATTTTTGATTAAGAAGACCATATCGATGCTGGAAAGCAAACACGTAGTAACCCGCAAAACCAAAAGTGTTCTTCAGAGCAGAAAAACTTTTTTTTTTTCGATAATTAATTCCTACATACGTCCATGGTAACAAAAAAGGTGTTCCTTAGGAAATTTATACGGAAAAAAGATTTTTTTTTTGGAAAAATCTAAAGATTATCCACTCCGATTGTCCATTTTAGTTTTGCAGATTACTACGTGTTTAACAAAATTGACGCACAAATAAAGGCAATATACAAGAGTACGCAAACGGATGGTAACGAAACAAGCAAGGAACGAAAGATTTTTTTTTATATTAAAAACCGGGGTCAGTCGAATACAGGTTCCGTGACTCGTAATAATTTCTGTCCTAAAATGCAATGAGATATCATTATTATTGGTAAATACGATATACTCTACACCCCTTTCAGTCATTTGAATGTACAGATATTGAGATATTAATTCGTCACAATGTACATATTATATTTATTTTTAGGGCTATGAACCAAAAAATTAATAACCTTTATACGATCGCTCGATTGTCTGTCTGTCACAGTCAATTTTCTCCAAAACCACTGCACAGATCTCATTCTCAGTATAACATAGGTATATTAGTGATATTGTAAAGTCAAATATATCACCGCTTAGGACATGGGATCGTGATCATTAAGAATCTTTCTTTAAGATACATATATATATTAATAATATCAAATATAAATAAAAATAACATAAAGTCTTAAATGAAAATATAAGTAATTAATTCTATTTTATCTCAATATCAATATTCTTAAATTACATGTTTTGAAATTGTTTCAGTAAATTTACAAAAATTAAACATTCATTTGGTAATATATAATTAATAAAAAATTATTAATTTAGAAATATATATAATATTTCTAAATCTTTAGATTAGAGGTAATCTATAATTTTATAAAATATGTAAATGGTATGAGAGCGACTCGCTATTGGTCGTTTCTTTTATATCTACTAAACTCAAATAAAATTAAAAAATATATACATTGAATACAAAAAATATAAGCTAATTGATTATGTATAACACGTATAATTGCTAAAATGAATCAAATTATTGCGATTGTATAGCAAACAAGAATTTATTATATGCCGAACAGTAACTATAAAAAATACATGAAAATACCTACATTTTACTATCTATAATAATAATTAATTAATTTCTTAATTTTTGACTATCATAATTTCTGTTCGATAATAATAT